CTACTATCTCTCACCCCCACTACAAATCGATGTTTAAATTCTTTTATCTCTTCTCTATGTTTGAGATTTAATTTTATATATGAATACAAATATATTTATTATTTATTATTCTCTATATCTTCAGGCACATACAATAACTAGTAAAATTATATGGTTGAATTAAACTAATATTGACACCCTATAATGTCCTTAGGTGACCAAACACTTATCCAAACTGGGTTGGCACGTGTTAAAAGTAAATATCACAAGTACCTTCTCACACCAATAACCAATAATGGACTACACACAAACGTTGGTTCAATGATTAAGAGTGTTCATGTCTTGATTAATTATTTTTCTAGTCTGACAGAAGTTAGGTCATTCATATCGAGACTAGAATATTTATGAGGGATAAGTTCTTTAGTCTAGCCTTAAAAAATTACCAAGATTTAAATTTAAAACGTTTGAAGTTTCAACTCGTTCCTTGAATTACCCATTGAAATTACAATTAACTAAGTGATATGCTAATAATAAAGGTGGCTTTAAGCCATTCATACAAATCTTCCCTTTTGTTGTGGTCATGGCTGGAGGGCCACTGGACCCTAGTTTCTTGTTGCCTGTTTCGTAAACCACCAAAAGATTCTAATTTTAAGGTACCAATATCAATACCTTACTCGTTTTCAAAATATTCAAATACTTTGGCAGTTTAGTTGAAGAAATTTCCAAATATTCAAACCTTGTTGTCTTTCTCTTGGTATCCCTATGTCAAAATCGGAGTCATTACATGGGTTAAAATTCTTTGTTGTTAGAAAAAACATGTGTTGTTGATTAAAACAACGTTGTTTGAATTAACAATAGTGCAATCGAACCCGTCATTATCCTGTTTAACTTGTAAAAGCACTCCAATTATTAGTCAACAGTGTCTCAAATATTTAATAAATCAACAAATTACTTCTTAAAAGGTTTGGTTGTACACTAGAAAAACATTTTATTATGCAATATTAAGTTGAAAAATCATCCAATAATCTTTTTTTTTTGGGTCTGGAATCATCCTCATTCCTAAATAATATTGGTTTGTCTCAATTTGGGTAATTTTTATCTGTCACACGTGCAAGGACTGGATTCATACTTATCCAATTCCCTCCCATTGTATGAACAAATTGATGGAAAAACCTACCTTACCAGAATCCTACCAGCCACTAATCCCATGGCCCATTTAACACCACAAGCTTCCGGGTGGGGCCCGGGATCCAATCTGGTCCACATTGTTTAGTATGTGTGGAAAGAAATTAAACTTTACTTAGCCTAGCCTTGGCTTGAGCTAGCTGCCCATGCTAATCTCTTAAGCTAATCAACACTGATTATGCTTGATTGAACAAACTTCACAATGAGCTCTGGTCATTGTATATTTACCTTAATAAGTGTATGTGTGTAAAACTATGATACGACTTGTTAATACGACACGAAGATAATAAGAATTAGATGATTTTAATTTTCTTTAAGCCATCCGTTTTAGAAACGCGTGGATCCGATATGACACAATTAATAAATTAATCGGATATAAGTGTCAATCAAAATAATTACACGACTTGACTTGTTTATAAATCGATTATACACAACACAAATCTAGTATGATACAGACTTATTAGACTCGAATTAATAGACAAATCGAGTATGAGTGAAGTGTTTTTTTGACATAAGCTCTCTAAGACTCGACACAAACTCCCCTTATTCGATACGATTGACAGACTTACTTAAGTGTACAATATATTGTCTATAACAATTACTAAAAATCATTTAATAGACAATTTTATCTCATTATGGAGGAGGTGATTTTAATAGGTTTGACATTGTACACTATTTAAACATAAAACACGATAATAGTGCAATTCTTTTCGATTTCTTTGGATGAGATATTATTAAGGATTAAAATTTTGTTGCGATGCATTATTTTGGTCACTTATAAAACAGAAATATTTTGGAAGTAGAATGAAAACGAATAATTTTTAAAACATAATGTAACATTGGTTGGAATATATTGCAATTATCTTGAAATACCTTGGAACATGTCAAAACATATCAAATTATTAGAATTTTGATTTCATCACTGATTTACCTCGATCTCCTTAAAAACAAAAATGTCTCGACCGTTTCAAAACGAAATTTTAATTCTTAGATTCTTACTCAAGCTCAACTTAGTTTTAAGTTTGTTGGTATTTGAACTAATGTCAAGTTAAAATTGAACTCAATTCATCAAACAAAATAAAATAAATTTTAAACCTTGTTAATTTCAAAATTTCAAAATGTGTCTTTTAATCAAAAAATATCAAAAGTGATTTGGTCTTAAGTCCCAATAATAATACTCATTTAAAAAGGTGTTCCATAACGAAAACGTATCGGTGATGATTTTAAGAAAGCCTATACTTATTTAGAATGATGCATTTTAACCAAAATGTGCCAATGACAATGAAAGTCACACTTTTTTTTCAAAAATCACAAATAGTCAAAAGAGGATTGAATGGTATGGGTCCTCAAATTGGTAAAGGCCTAACGGGTTGTCTTGGCCTTTCTCTGCTAAACCATGTGCAGATGGCTCGTTAGAGCTTTCAATTAAACACCCTACATATTAAACCAGTGGAAGATGATGACAAACATCAATTAAATAATTAAGAGGCGGCAATTGCAGTTAGAGTCCCTACATTTTGAGTAATTGAATATGACAGACTTTCAATTAAAGCACTACAATGACCAACACAATCACAGCAGAGACCTTGTGAAGCCATGTTATAGAATTCGATTGCCTAATTGCTGATACTCTAGATAGGTAAGACCCGGGGGAACTTTAGTATAGTTGATCTCAAGTTGAAGTTTCACATGATATTTTTCAATTGATCTAAGTAATATTTGTGATTTTTGAATGATTGTATGCATTTTAAGTCAACCTAGCACTCACGAGTTCAAAGAAAGTGTGATTTAGATGATTCTCAAATATATTAAAAATTGATACCTTAATGGTCCGCCTGTTAATTATTTAAAATATGGGTCTTGCCCTACATACATAGAAACTTTTTTTATGACTCAAATTCATTAGATCTATATCGTAATAAAACAAACTTACCATGTGCTTATCTTTATTCATGAAAATATGATAAAAAAATTTCTCTTGATTTGATTTCTTAACCTATGGATTTCAAATATGGTCGGACATCATTCACACAACTAATATCCAGTTTTTTTATTTTGATTAGGAAAACTTGTAATTTTATTTAGGTTGGCAAATGTCAATTACAATTAGAAAGATATAAAACCATAAGCTCGAGTGGAGGACAACTGACTCAGATTGCGATTCACTCCATTAATTTTTTTGCATAATTTCACTCAATAATAATGATAGGTCAGACCCAAGGGCCCAACTCATGCTATGAGTCCAATTTAAATTAAGAGATCAATTTCAAGAGATTCAGTGCCCAAAGTGGTCCACGTCCGATAAAGTTCATCAGGTTCAAAGAGTTATATCAACAGAGGAGCATGCAAGGGTCATCCAAGAATCTCCTCCTAACCACCTTAGAATAAGCGTCATCCAAGAGTCTCATCCTGGCTGTCTTGGAGAGAGTCAACTCTCACCTCATCACCTCATCCTTTGACCGAGTCTTATGAAAAGTAGTGTAATTGCATCGCTCGTTGAGAAGAGGTTGCTATCTCTGCCTCCGCCGAATCATCTATTAATTATTATTAAATCAACCCAATTTATTGTGACTGCCAAATTAGTTATTCAATTACTATGCGTTATGAGACAACTATAAATTGTAAGTTTTGCCAACACTTGGGGGACATCATCACATTCAGTTTACCTCTTCCTCTCTAAGCTTGTAACTCTCAGCTCTCCCTACACACTTGAGTTAATAACATACCGAGCGACTTTTATTATTTAAAGTGGACGTAAGTCACGTTGACCGAACTACTATAAACTTTGTCTTCTCTCTCCCTCTACTTATATTTACTGCATTTTGTATTGCTTACTTGACAGGTGATGTGTAAACTAATTTGTGCATTATCAAATATATCATTTGTCATATATTTACGTGAAATCTATTATTTATATGTGAACTCATTAACTATATACAGTAAATGATCTATTATTGAGTAAAATTATATAAGAAATAACGGAAAGGATTTAAAAAAACTAACAAATTGCCTAATGTCCTAGATGAGTGCACAAAAAATAGGCAGCCAAGCCAAGCCTTCCTCAAACTCAAATTTTTTTTTTTTTTGCAGTGATGAATGAATCTCCTATGGGCAAATCTAATGTCTTTTAGGACATCCATGAAGATTTAAAACAATTTAATGATGAACAAAGCCCGCTCTGCTGCCAAGGGGTGGTTGTTGGGGATGGTTAATTATTTGGAATTGGATGGTCACCAAACTACATATCAACTTGGTTTGATTTTGCTGCTAATTATTACTTAATTATTTTTAAATGCCCCATTACCCCACAAACAGCCCCTTTTCCCTCTATATGTAGTAGCCCCACGCAGACCCATCTTCTCCTCTCTCTCTCTCTCTCGCGCACACACATTCACCTTGGTAATAATTGTCCAATTCATTACTCAAACCCAAACTTCTAAATCTAAACTCAATGAGCCACAAGCGTCCCTTTTCCTGGTTATTCTTTCTCTCTCTGCTTTTTATAATGTCTACATCCAAATTATGCAGGAAACGTACCAATGTGGGTTCTGGTTGTCGTGTTAAACCTTAACAGCAAGAATCTCTCTCTCTCTATCTCTCCATTAATACACACCTATTCTTCTTCTTAGTATAATGCCATCAACTATCAACCAATTCATTTATCTGAGTCTCCCTTTTGGTTTGGTACCTTCTCTCCAGCGTTCTTACCTTCTCCCATGACTATACGAATAGAATAATCGAAATATATTTGCATCTTTTTGTCACAGAACGCATTATATTTATCTTTCTCTAGTGTAAAATTCTCTCCTCTCCTCCAAAGCAAAGTAGCTGAACTCTTAACTTTTTCTCTCTCCACCTTTCTTTATTCCTTTCTCCTTTAAACATCCTTTTTGGTTTCTCGGTTTCTGTGTTCTTATAGAGATCCGCTACAAAATGGGGTTTTCCCAACGTAGTTTCACCAACTCTATAGACCCTCTTCACAGTTCAATCCCTACAAGCAATACTTCCGCTATATCCACTGATCAGTACTGTAACTATAATGAGGTAAAAATCAAATCTTTATTCTACAAAATGATTTGGGAAATTGGGTTTGGTTGTATTCTCCCACCTCGCCGGCGGCAAGAAGATCGGGCCGACACTGAGAAGGGTGACAACAAATTAGAGCACAACAAGGCTTGGTTGCTAGCGGAATCTGGTGGTTGTGCTGCAGAGTTGACAAATGCTGAACCACACTCAGTTCACTCCTCTTTCAGGTTCAGTTTCTGCTCTCAAGTTGAACTCGAATCAATGAATGTGAATAATTCTTCTTCTGCAACCGTTTTGATGGTGAATTTGGACAATGGAGTGACCGAATCTCGATCAAAAGAACTAAAATGGCGAAGAATTGAGTCCTTGGAAAGGAGTATTTCTCCTGTGGCACATACCTTGATTAGATTCAGCTATGCTGAAATTCTTGCTGCTACTCGCAATTTCTCAAAAGGTACTCATTTGTGTAGTGACTTTGTTCCAATTTGTTTTTTAAATATATTTTTTTAATATGTTTTTGATTAATTTTGTGCTATTGGGTAGGCAGAGTTTTGGGTAGAGGTGCATTGAGTTATGTTTTTAGAGGAAGAGTTGGGGTTTTGAGGAGTGCTGTAGCAATTAAGCGGTTGGATAAGGAAGACAAAGAGTCTCCAAAGGCATTTTGTAGGGAATTGATGATTGCTAGCTCTCTTCATAACCCATTTATTGTTCCTCTCATTGGCTTTTGCATTGATCCCGAGGAGGGTTTGTTTTTGGTGTACAAATATGTATCTGGTGGAAGCTTGGAGCGGTATTTGCACGGTATGATGTATTGTCCATTAAGATTTGGGGCTTTTGCTTTAATTTTGATGAGTTTTTGTGACTTAAAAGATCTGCAATTGCAGAGAAGAAGAGGGGAGTGAAGGATGGTTCATCACTTTCATGGTCTGTGAGGTATAGGGTTGCCATTGGAATTGCAGAGGCAGTCGGGTATTTACACAATGGAACTGAGAGATGTGTTGTGCACAGAGACATTAAGCCCTCAAACATCCTTCTCTCTTCTAAGAAAAAGCCCAAGGTGAGGAAGGGTTTTGTTTTCTTGAATTTCTTTCAGGTTCAAATGATTTTTTGAACATATAGTTGGGCATATTAAGCAGCATATAGTAAAATAGTTATTTCTATAATATTTGCAGTTATGCGACTTTGGATTAGCTACTTGGACCACGGCACCTTCAGTACCTTTCCTTTGCAAAACTGTGAAAGGAACATTTGGGTATGATTCTAACTATTGACAGAAATTTAAGAGGGAAAAAACTTTGACCTTTCCATATACTGAAAACTGAAATCAAATGTGCAGATATTTGGCTCCTGAATATTTCCAGCATGGGAAAGTGTCTGATAAAACTGATGTTTATGCTTTTGGCGTGGTCCTCTTGGAACTGATAAGTGGCAGGAAGCCAATCGAAACAAAAAGAGGACCTGGAGAAGAGAACTTGGTCTTGTGGGTAGGTCACGGTTTTATTTTGCTGAACTCATCCATCAAGTCTCTGATAGCTGAATCTATGGGTCCCCTTCTTTAATTTTGCTCAACTCATCCACTGTTTTAATTTTCCTAATAAGAACAGCACCCTAGACCTACAAATTGACAATACATTAGTGAATGACCATTTCATTATCAACCAGTTTTCAGTGCAATGGGCTAAACACCCCAAAATAGCTTGTGATTTGTCATGCAAACTGCCCATTGAGAGTTCTGTATGGTGTCCTGGTTCCCTGCTAGATTTGGTGAACTCTTTCTCGTTTCTGGGTTGAAATTTATGGTAATCGTTTGCATCATTTATCCTAATAAACCACACGATTTGGTTATTTTCAAGTGTTATATGAGCTTAGACCTTTACTTCTCTTAGCAGATTTTGGAGCAATTTCAGAATCAACATGAACACTATTTTCTTCCAATTTGGACATACATTCTTAAGGTTTTTTCCGTATCCCATTAATGAAAGGAAAGATCTGTTATATTGGATTAAGCATTTGACACAGTTCACTTTGATTTTACGAGGCTGTCTGTTGAAGAGTTTTAAGATATGAAGAAGAAACCTGTCATGTCAAATATTGCACTTCATTTTTGGTGATGTTCAATTTGTCTTTTCTTTTTCCTTGTCTTGACATGCCATTTACCTTGGTGCTCTAATTTTCCTCAAAACAACACTATTTTGGATCCATTTGTGCCTTTCAAGAAGCTATGGAGGACATTGAAATAGTATCTTTTATAAAATTTCTTAAAAAAGATCTGGCCATGTCATTTTAGATTTTGAGTGCCTAAGTTGTGCATCCATGATCCATGTTGTAGGCTTCCTTCAACTCTTTTCGGGATGATACTTTTAGGAAAACAGGCTAGACAATTCAACTTTGGTTCTTATATGATCCGAACATTACAATTATGTGATTGCATGCCTGAGCTAACATCATTGCACTTTGCCTTGATTTTAATTCCACTGTGACAAAAGGGAGCCTTAATAATGAGATATGCCATTTCTTTTCCGTTAGCTATGTTGTAAAAGTTGCTGCCTGGTTACCTATGTTACAGGGATTGGGATATGCATGTTGGTTTCTGGGGTGTGTATGTGTTAAGATATGACGATATAAATGTGTTGTCACCTTGTCCAATTTTTTTAAAAAATAATCATTTATCGTTTACATAGGATAAAAATGACACTTCACAGTGGAATATCTCGTAAGATTTGGGTGTTGATATTGTTTATAGTACATCCAGTACTTAGGCAACATTTGTAGTAGGTATCTGATGAAATGAGTGAACTGGCTTTCTGTTCCTCTATACTTTCAATGGACTTCAATGAGTTTATGCTCCTATATAATGAAACGCTGCGAGTGTAGTAGGTGCTTGTTAATTTAAGCTTCTATTCAATATTAATGGCAGCAGAGATATTGATTTCATAAATTTGCAGGCAAAGCCATTATTGCAGCAAGGAACCATTGAAGTTTTGCTTGATCCAAGGCTCACCTTCACTAAAAAAAATTCAAAACAAATAACCCGAATGGTTCAAGCTGCAGCTGCATGTATAAACAACGAAGAATCCCGGAGGCCCAACATTGATGAAATTATTTCAATATTGAGAGGAGCAGAATCTAATTTCCCCAACAGGAAGAAATCTGGCTTCCCTGGTAATAATTGTGTCGTTGATTGCTACTCTCAGTTGCAGCAGACAAAAAATGAAATGAAGACTCATTTAGCATTGGCCATGCTAGGAGTTTCAGAGCTTGAGGACGACGATCACCTATACTGTCGATGAAATGGAAACAATTCGAACAATCTAATTTTCACCCCCCTATTTTAATTGTGTGTCTGTCTTGCTTGAAGGGGAAGCCCTTGCAGAGCTGGATGAGCTTTTCAAAAGTGTATATAGTCTGATGAGCAATTGTGTTTGTAGTTGTACATACTTGCATGTCCTTGCCCTTTGCTTTAGAGGGAAGGTTGACAGATTTTTCTTTTGCAAAATCTTGGAGTGCTGATTTGAACCACACTGCTGAACGATTCTTTATGTTGATCTTTAAACACATTCTCTGTTCTCTGTCTGTCCTCTGCTCTTTCAATTTTTTTTCTTGTTTATTTTCTTTTGGGGAGTCTTGCAAAACTTCTCTTCTTAATATTATTGTTGTTGTTGGTGGTGGTGGTGGTGAACATGCTGAGTGTGAGATTGGCGAGGAACATGCATGATGGGCCACATGACCCGACTAGGCTGTATGTTGTATAACTATCTAGTTGTGACATTGGCACGAGGGTATCAAACACGTGTCAACATGCACATATAAAATGTATTACAGCGTGTTTTTCGACAATAGGTATTAAATTCAGATAAAGAAAGAAGGTTGTGTTAGGTAGTTAAGTTGATAGCTCAACTTTTTTTTTTTTAAGATTTAATGTGAACATTATTCATAGACACGTAGGTAAAATAATACACATATTAGGTATATATTAGAACTACATTGCCTCCCACCATTTTCAAATGTAAGGAGTCAACTAATAGCTATAGTTTAGGTAAACTAAAAAAAAAAAATAATGGTTCTTCAATATAGCAATTGCAACCGATAGTGGCGGAGCCGGAAAAAAGTTTTAGGGTGGGCGCTCTTATACATTTTATCCTAGTTGATAAAAACAAAATGACACATTATATTATTTATTTTATTGATGATTTTTAAAAATTCTACGCATATATGTGTACAATTGAAAATAGATTAATTATAGTTTTTGATTGAAAATGAGGTTAATTATAATTTGTTATAATCAATCTAACAAATTTTTATACTTTGATAGCGTTGTTTAATGACTTTATTGTTAACAACTAATAAAATTGATGTCAAAATAACTGATATGTATACTTGAGGATATACTATGCTTTTTTTTATTTTAAATTTTTTTGAGTAAGAATACAAATCTCTGTTAAAGTTTAAACTCAATATTAAAGTGTACATTAATAATAAATAGTCAAATTGATCAAAAGATTTTCAAATGAACCTAATATATTCAAATTAATATGAGTATGTCTTAAGCGTATCCATTTTTAGTTATTTAGGTATGAGTATGTACTAATTGGTATGATAAAAAAATAAAATAATACTATAAGAACTTAATTTGAGGACTTAATCAAGGACCTTATTTAATATAATTTTTAGATTAGTTGTAAATTTCAAAATTTGATGAAACCCATTTTTAATTCAATTACTATATTGATTTAGTTTTCAAGGGTGGCCTAAAGTTCCTCCACCGAATTGTAGTACGAAAATATCTCCAAAGATCTCGGCTAGAGCAATCATATGCCAAACATGAATACCTTCTGAAACCATGGGCAGAACACCTGGTACATGTCTTTCGGTGTATCATTAATATTCCCCAAATCAATATACAACTTTTTCTTGAATCAACAAATAAAAAATGATTGATAAATACATTTACACTAATGAAACAAATCAATAAAGAATTAATAAAACAAATCAAATTTGTTTTAATAATTATGTCTTAATAATTTTTTTCAAAAAAATAATAGAATAAAAATAATTAAATATAATTATAATGATAAGAAAAAAAATTAAAAATTGGGAGCGGGCACTATTGCACACACACTTTACCCAACTGTAAATTTATTATTGGATAATAACACTGCATAATAATAGTGATGTGATATTACTGTTATACCCAATATTTACTCCACCTCTTACGTCTCATTATGGAGAAAATATTCAATGTAACGGTGACACCACGTCATTGCTACCACATGATTTCACCGATCAATTATAAATAAATTAGTAAGATTGGTAGATCCCACTAAATTTTATAACCATAAATAACTTCTACATTCAATAACTATCATATAAGATTTGTGATACTCACTTGCCCTAATGGTGATGACATTGTATAACCGTTACATTGAATATTTATGTATTGGGCTTGTTAAGGTAAAAGGCATGAATGTATAAATGGAGCTGTTCCAAGATCCTCATATACTGATGAAAATTGCAAGAGAGAGAAATTAGTAAGGCAAAAATGTTGTACATAATCTTTCCATATTCAGCTGAATAGAATACATCCCCATTATTATTTTCTTTATCTAATTTGGGATGCGGATGAAAGCTGGCTTGATGCCTAGCAAGAAAGAAACCTGGGATAATCTCTTAAACCAAATAACAACTTGAGAGGGACTTGGAAGGTACTTGTCTAATTACAGCGTCTCGGACAAAAAATCTACGCCACTGGCTTAAGCAGGGCATTCAGCACTGCTGCTCTTGTCGGCAAAGCTGGAATTGCACCTCGCTCCATCACAGTCAAGGCGCCACAACCATTGGCGAAACTTAGAGCATCTCTCAGTCGGTCCTCCTCCTACGAAGAAAACTAGATTTAGCACCAATGTACAAAGCAGATAAATTTTAGCACCAATGTACAAAGCAGATAGATTTGCTCGCAACGGAATATCAAACTGACTAAGAATTCAAATGCAAGAGCTTATAAACAAGCAAGAAACAATATATTAGTCCTATAAATCGTTTCCAGATGCAGCCGAGAACAGATAATGTACCATTTCATGGCTTCTCAAAATAGTCAATGAATTATCAAAAGGGTATTGAGCATTGTCCAAAATAAAAATTAGCGCATCCTCAAGTTTTAATCAAAGAAGGATTTATCCAACCTTATCTTAGTCGATTTGATTTACCTGAAGCTCATCTAAATTGCAATGTTAGAGATTTAAGAAACTTCTATTTAGGTGGACAGAGAGAAACTTTTGTGAATGAATGCATGACTTTTATGAACTAGATATCACCCTGTATCCTAAGTTCTACACTGGAGATCTATCTGCTCTGAGAGTTGAATGCCAGAGGAATTATATCAGAGTCAATGATTTTGTTCCTTCCTTTCCAGTGCAGTACTTATGCTTTGTGCATCCATATATGCATGTGATCGGAAAAGCAAATACAATCAGGATTAGCAAACTAGAAGATTTGAAGTCAAAAAGAAAGGTGGCAATCAGACAAATTGTCGAGTATAACGAAGTTCAATGCTGCTTGATTGCAAACTACTCTTTTGAGGCACCCTTATAGTCTAATTTTCAGATCAGCATACACATGCATCAAGCGCACTCAATGCAGATCATTCTAGCAACATCAGTACTCGCAAAAATTGTTCCACAAGTACAAAACCAGGCAAAACAACCAGATAATATAATCATCGCCCTATTGAAGAAGATACAGCCAAGTGAAATACAATGCTCGCAAGCAAGACAATGGTGAGTTATGCAATACATAAATATCGATCTCTCCCAAGCAGAGGGCCTTCTTTGGGATATAGAATACATAAAGCAGTATAGACAACGCATAAAATTATTAGGTATATTGCTGGGAATCAATACCTGAAGCAATGAGACATCAGCTGCTAGTTGTGATAATATTCCAGCCACAAAAGCATCCCCAGCACCTGTAGTGTCCACAGCATCCACTTCTAAGCCTTTCACTCTTCCACTGAACTCCTGTACAAATACATAAACTACAAATTGATGATTGCCTCCTTGAGTCACAAGCCACCAAGTGGGAACGAGTGCAAATCCCAAGCTGTAAAATACAGCTTTGTGAAATTAACTATACATCTAGGTCTTGACATTGCAGCACCATTTTGTTAGTATTTTAAAGACCCTAATTTTTCAATTTGAACTTGACATGAACATGCTTAACTGATATAATATGCAACCCATTTTGAGTCAAAAGCAAAAAAATTTTGGCAAAAGGTATGGCCAACAGCGTTAGGGTGTAAAATTTGGTAACTAATCATATCTAAGTTCTTATCTTAGTTGCAGTGAAATTTAATAATCAAATGGAATTAGAGCAAATCCAATAAACATTTATGCTAGAAACTGATCCCATGTTTGAAACACAAACACTGTGACACAGAACAGTATATAAAAGAGAAAAGGAAGTTTCAAAGAGGGATAAACATAGCTTTTGTGTTTCAGCACAATGCACCCTCTGTGAACTAATATATTTTTGGGGGTTTACCTTGGTGTAGTACCTGCAACCCTCTGGGCCTTCTGTGACAAGAAGCAATTTAAGATTTGGATGGTACAATTTACGAACAACAGCATCATCAAATGGATCTTCTCCTTTTGTCAAAAAAGAAATCTCCTCCTCACTTATCTGGCAGCAAAATGAACAAAATCCTCAAAGATAGTGTACTCATTTACATTTTTCCATTGTGTTGCTAGCTGTTTTATAAAGACGAAAAAACAAAAGCATTGCAAGAGCAGAGAGCAATACTGCATATTTAGAAGAAGGAATACCTTTATAATATCAGCGGTCTCCCAAATGCTCAGAATTCCTTCTCTGGCATCCTCCGCAGATGCCCACAATGGAAGCCTGAGGTTGGGATCGTAAGACAAAATTACACCAGCATCCTTTGCAGCTTTTGCTGCAGCAATATGGGCTGACTTGCAGGGTTCTGTAATCAAACTTATTGAACCATAATGAAAAATTTTTGCCTGCCACAGGATATGACAAGTCACTCGGTTTACTGTATATAAGCGATTTGTGAATATCATCAAAAAATCAAATTATTCACATCATTAAATATTCAAATAAGAAGATCAACATCTTCTAAGCTAAAATCAACATAAAATCATATCACTTTCACAAGAAGCATCAAATAAACCACAAGAAGTATTGAACATAATTTTAAACAAAAAAGAATATAAGAATTTAATAAATACACCTTGTTGCCTGGTTGTTTTAGCAGAAAAGTTTGATTTCTTTCCTTCATTTCATCCAATTTTTTCTTTTTCTTATTAAATGATAAATTTTCCATTTGCTTAATTACCAAGAAAAACATGCTCATATACCTTTCTAATTAAATCGAAATCAAGTTCTGCTTCTTGAAGCAGCATATCAGCACTAGGGTTCCGATAAAACATGAACTCACGTTCCCCATCCTTTCTCAGTGTGACGAATGCTAAGGCTGTTCGGGCACCTGGATCAAAGCGCATGCCTTCATTGTTCACATTATTCTCCTTCAAAATGTCCGCCAGCATGTACCCAAATTC